ACAAGGGTAGATGTTATATCAAACATAGAGCTAGTTAATGAGTGGCCATTAAAATATCTAAAGATAGTCCAAGAAAACTTGGCCGCAGACTTGCAGTGTTCAAACTCTTCATAACCACAGAAGTTTTAATGAGTTAACCAACCTCATAAAACTTTAACACAAGTGTGGCATTCTCCCCATGCCCCTGAAATTCCATGCCTCAGTTAAGGAGCTTCCATGAGCTCCTGAACTTCCCCCATCTTTCCCACTGAAACTGAGTGGAGGGAGTATGAGAAAGAACTTGCAAGGGAATTCAGTCTACCCAGCCTTTTCAGACTGCCCTGATGATTGTCACTTGATAGTACTGAGCATTTTAAAATGTTACCCAACAGATCATCTTTTTCTCTGCTTCAGCACAGTTTGTACCTCTATCTCTGTGTGGTGAGATTTGCTCATATGTTCATTTCATGTTACATGATAGTTACACTTCAATTTTCTGGTAGGTTTTAGAATAAAATTAATTTTTAATTTCTCTGCTTTTGTATTAATTTTAGGACAAAGAAGTGTACTTAGAAAATGTATGCATCTTTATCAGAAGCAGGAATCATTTAAAGTTTCAGCCCACTAGTTAGTAATGTTTTATTAGCAAATGTTAGCAAGAGGTTAAAAACTCCAAGCCCGAGGCTTTGTGGATCTGTTGAAACTAAACAGGAATCCAAGAGACTTTAGAACTTTTGATGGCAAAAGTTGTCACAAACATATGCTTTCCTTGAAGAATCTCAAGATGATTTTAATTAGAAACATTTTATGCTTAGTACATCCAAAATCAATGAATTAGAAATACTTGTATTTTGTTCTAAATTTAGGACTTGTTGTCAAGTGGAAAGCTATCCCGACTTTTCTATCTTCTATTAACCTAAACAACATGAAGCACTTGCAAAAATGTTGAAAAATAAGCTGCATATCTGAATGAAAATTATCTTTAATAAAAATTGTATTAAAGAGATCTCAGAAGCAATATAATAATAATAATAATAATAATAATAATAATAATAATAATAATAATAAACCTACCAGAGGTGAGCGAAGTTCCTGCTGCTTGAACTTTGGGGGCAGATTCCTGGGGCCTGCTGGGAACAGGACTTCTAAAAGGCAAATATGTCTGGAAGGCTGTGGTGCAAGGCCATTTTTGCTGGCTATAAGCGAGGTCTCAGGAACCAGAGATAGCACACAGCTCTTCTTTAAATTGAAGGTGTTTATGCCCAAAATGAAACGGAATTCTACTTGGGCAAGAGATGTACATATGTGTATAAAGCATAAAACAACACAGTGACACCTGGGGACAAACCAAACAAAACCAGAGTGATCTGGGGAAAAGTAACCAGGGCCCATGGAAACAGTGGCCAAATTCCAAAGCAACTTTCCTGCAAAGGCCATTGGACACAGAATCTGTGTGATGATGTACCCTTCCAGCATTTAAAGTAATGAAAGTTAAATAAATAAAAGTGAAAAAAACAACAAAAAAACCCTACTTGTCTAAATTTTGTGTAAATTTGAGAATTTCAAGAGTAGGTGAGTAGAAAGTGCCTGGTATGTGATAAAAATCATTGATTAAAATGATATAAATGTAGGAGCTGGAGAGAAAGTTCTGTAGTTTTTGCTCTTTCTCTGGAGGACAAGAGTTCAATTCCTAGAATTCATTTTTGCCAGATAATGGCTGCCTGTAACTCTAGCTCCAGTGTATCCCGTAGTCTCTTCTGATCTCTATAGATACCTGCAATTGTATGCTGGTCTCTATAAGTAATAAAAATTAAAAAAAACTTTAAAAATTATATATTTGTAAAACAAAACAACGTATACAGAGAAAAAAGTGTTTATATCCTGAGGGCCTCCAGAGATACTCTTGGACCAATAGTTGTGAGATTGTTAATTGCTAGCTCCATAATCAGTGAACATTCATGTTTTTCAACTAAATCAATGGTAGTTGTGAAAAAATATGTGGAAAAACATTAAGTTCTGCATAGCTTCATAGTAAAATAACAAAGATATATTTTATGATGTTTTCAAGTATTTTAGTGAATTGCATGAATGTATGAGAAGCTAAATCTATGACATGAAAACCCTTGAGATGATTGTCCTCAAAGCCATTGTATACCATGAATGTCCAGCAGCCATTGTACAAATTAACAAAAATTAGTCTCAAAAAGTTAGTTTCTTGAGTTTTTGTGTGTGTTAAAGTAAAAATTACAATTAAAATGCAATAGTTCTAAAATTTTGGATAAAGTAATTGGGAATTAGTTGTACCCTTGCCTCAATTGGAAAATTGGTACTTCATTTTCAACTGGATTGAACTTAAAATCACCTATAGGAAGGCTTAACTGGAGAGAAAAGATCCTCCTTAAATATGGATGGCTGTTGTTAACAGGCCCCCAGACCTTGACACAACTGATGCCATATGAGAGGTCCCCTTCTGACCTTAAAAGCCAACACTTGACAAAATGGGAACAAAGATCTAGTTCACAGTTCAGGAAAGTCCTCACGGAAAAAGTCCCTAAGTGTACTAGCCTTGCTTTTGGCTTCTGTAGTTCTGCTTCTTGCTAACTCACAACTAGGATGTGGGTTTTGTGCATAAAAGACAAAAGGTTGTAAGACTCAGAGCCGCCTGATTTCAGCAAGTTCCCATGCAGCTACCACCAATGAAAACTTCCGTTTTGGCTTAAAGATTGTCTATGGGTGGTCTTTGATGGGCTTACCCAGCAACACTACATCTCATGTCCTGGAGTCCTAGATTGAGTGAAAAGGAAAAAGCAAGCAAAGTACCAACCATTTGCTTTTTCTCTGCTTCCTGACCTGACCGTGGATGCAAAATGACCAGCTGTCCCTCACACCTGATGCTACAGCTTGCCAGCTATGGTGATTGAGACCTGTAACTGTGAGACAAAAGAAATCCCCTTTCTTTAAACTGTTTTGTCATTGAGAGCATGAGAAGAGGCGGGAGGGAGCTACAAGAATGAGAAGGGAAGAAGAGGAAGGATGCAGAGGTCATGAGGGAGCAGAAAGTTTGAGTCAGGTGTAGAGTAGAAGAAAGGATATGTGATAGGTAGGGTTTTAGTTGGGGGGGTGCTAGGGGAGGAAGGGAGGGAGAAGGGAACTGGTAGTGTCATGTAATTCAATCTTGTCTCTAATTCAAATAAAAAAATGTTTTGTCATAACAGTGATGGGAGGAACTAATATACATGGCTTCTTGGGTTTTGATATCTTCTTGGAGCTAATATCACATGTATTTCCTCATATGCAGTTAAAAGTTGTAAAAATTAATAATTATTGTCATGTTCATCACATGAGTTTTAAAATCTGAATATAGGAATCACTATTCTACGAACCAAAAGTTGTCATGAGTATGAAGTTGAGGACTGAATGGAAGATGATCATTATTATTAGTGTTGTGTTGATTAGGTATTGCTTACTAATATGTGATGAAAACTCAGAATTCCTTAGTAAAGATCAATAAAGCTCAGGGAGTATCCCTCTATGTGGAATGGGCTCCTAAAGTCCACACCTATGCTAGGGATAAGTACTGATTCCACATAGAGGGGTCCTCCCTGAGCCAAGACACACAGGGGTGGGCCTAGGCCCTATCTCAAAGGATATGACAGACCCTTAAAACCCCCTATGGAAAGCCTCACCCTCCCTGGGGAGCAGAAAGGTTATGTGATAGGTAGGATTTTAGTTGGGAAGAGTGGTAGGGGAAGAGGGGAGGGAGAGTGAACTGGGATTGACAAATAAAACATTCTTGTTTCTAATTCAAATAAAAAATGTTAAAAAACCAAAGATCAATAAAGCTTATCCCAAAAGGAATTGAAGGATTAGGGAGAAGAAGAAACTTAGAATTTTTATCAATGTCTCTTTGACCAGACACAACCTTTACTTTGATTTTATGGTGAGAAGTACAACTGATGAACATAAGCTTCACCAGGAACCTGGAGACCTAACCTTATCCCACAAACTTCCTTGGCAGTGCACCAGACACTGTTTCTCACAGTAGCTTAAAACTGAGGCTTCTCTGTGTGTATTCGTTTTATACTAATCTCAATCTTGTGATATTTGTCTCACACAAAGGCAGATTTCTCCCCTTCCGCCCTCCAGGTCAGTTCATTTTTCAGAATGTGAAAGGAACAAGAAAGCAGCATGCTGTCAGTTATCCCATATGGACAGAAAGCTGCTTTTTGTTCATTATAACCTGCCCCTTACTGAGACTAACATGTAACTGAGGTGAGTGAAGCACCCCCATTAATACTCCACATAGAACTCCAGTTTAGATAGAATTTGCTTTCTTGCTCTATTCGAAGGTTTGGACACCTACACAATGTAACAATATTTCTGTATTGATTGAATCATTAATATGCCCCCAGTTTTAGACTGATAGGAACAGATACTACACTTGATCTTAGCCATAAGGCTGAGAAGCAATGCTCTCATTTTTAGTAGTTAAAATTTGCTGATGGAAAATTTGATATATGTGATCAGTTTTTCACAAGGATATCAGTTACATATAGTAATTTGATTCTCTGGTGCTACATATTTCTCATCTTATTTAACAGAACAAAATTTTGGGTTTCTGGAATTTCTGTACTTTGCAAACTATCAGAACTAAATGATCTAATATATTATCTGTCCTGAAAAGTCAAGTGTATCCTCCCTTCCTTTATTTCTAATTGCCACAGTTCTCTTTGGCAATACTTGGGTTATACTTGTAAGCAAGCCTTCTAGGTTGATTTAAAAATATTATGTATGCCTTACATCTTTGAAAGCACAGGATTTGTCCTTTCATAACTCCACGATGTACATACACTAAGATGCCATGAAAGTAATATTGGGCCCTCAGTGAGAGCGCAGAACCTTCTGTATTACTCAGTTATCACGGACTCACTCATTATTGAATTTGAACTGAACACTATGTATGCCTTTTAGGAAATAGATAGTAGCTGTTTTGAAAGTTGGTATTGTTGGTGTTTTTGTAGAAAGGCCAAAGAAGATCTACTGAAAACTCGGAAGGAACGGGACTTCCATCGCATGCATCATAAGCGCATATTGCAAGAAAAGAACAAACTGATTGCTGACCTCAAAGGGTGAGATGCCCATGCTGGTTGAAGAATTATTTTAGCTATTGAGATCTGAGTACAGGAGGACTGATTAAATCAATTTGTCCTTTTAAGTTTATTGGATAGGAAGTTTAGTCCCTTGCATTGAAGGAATATTCACATTATTGGGTTGTGTGATTGAGAAGTTAAACATATAAGAAAATGCACTCTACTGTTGCTTTGTCAGCAAGACACAGTCTCAGTAAGACTGGTGTGAGAAAAGGGTTCAAGGGTGGATTTTCAGTGGGTTGAAGTCTGAAGAGTGGATAAACTGGTAGAGTGGTGTCCCCAGGCTGCCCTGGTGAGACAGTGTACTCTATGCAACAGAACTAAGTCATGAAGGAAAATGGAATCACCTACTCATGGCCCTTGTTTTCTTGAGAATTGTTTTTAATTGTTATAAGGTTAATTATTTAATTTCTTAAAAATTGGATTTCAGTTTTGTGAAACAAGGTCTCATGTGTCTCAAACTCGCCTTGAACTCACTATGTGGCTGAGACTAGCCTTGAGCTCCTGATCCTCCAACCCCACCTCCTGAGTGTTGGGATACAGGCATATAGTACTAGTCGACCTGGCAATACATATTTTATAAATATCAAAGAACTACAGCAGTTTCTGAGTATATACCTGAATACACTAAAAATGCTGCTTGAAATAGGAAACTAGGTAAAGAAAGCATGGTTTCCTATCCTGTACTTATCCCTCACCCGCTGAAGATTGAAATTACACAGGAAATAACACTTCTGTGCTTGGCTCTGACATGTTGACCTTTATGTAGCTACTCATTTTTATTCATAAGCACACAAAGATGGAATGGAAGTAGAAAAAAAGTTTAGATGGTAGATGAAAATCACTGATGTAACTATTTTACCTTTTCTGATGATGCAACTGGCCTTTCACTTTTGTAGGCTGAAACTGCATTATGCATCTTTCGAACCAACTATTAGGGTATTACATGAGAAGCATCATGCTTTAGTGAAGGAGAAAATGCTGACCTCCTTGGAAAGAGATCGAGCTGTTGGGAAGGTAAGAAAAGGGGTAGCTACCTTGAAGCAACTCTTAATCATTGGTTTATTGTGTATACAGCTGTATATGTGTACATATGTGTGCTTGTGTGGATGGGTGTGTGACCACAAGGGTGTGTGCATATATGGAGGCCAGAGGACATCATGTTTTATTTGCAGACATACTGTCTACCTCTTTTGAGTCAGGTCTTTCATTGGACTGGAGCTCACCATTTATGTTAGACAGGTTGATCAATGAGTCCCAGGGATTCCTGTCTCTATATCCCTGTAATGATAACTTTTTCTGCTAGCCGCCTAAGCCCCGCCGCCATGTGGTCCCAAAATAACACACAGAGATTATTATTAGGTACAATGCTGCTGCCCAATGACTAGGATTTCTTATATGCTAGCTCAGTCTTAATTATCAACCATAACTACTAATCTATATATTTTATAAAGAGTTATCTTGTTAAGGACGCCAGTCGTATGTGTCCTCTCTTGCCAGCAATCACATGGCGACTCCACAGAGAAGAGAAGCGGAGGAAGAGAGAGCGATTTCCTACTTGTCCCTGCTTATTTTCTGAGTCTGCCTGCTATGTCACTCCCTGTCTGGATCACAAGACTTCTCTTTATTACATGTCCCAGAATCCTCCTCAACTCCTGGCCCCACCTATCTTGCTTCCTTATTGGCCAACAGTGCTTTATTCAACAACCAATAAGATAAACATACATAGAAGGACCTCCCCCATCATATCCCCAGTGCTAGAATTACAAGTATGTACCACCATGCTGGACATTTTTATGGGGGGGGGTCACCTCGAGTTTTGGGGGCAAGCAGTTTGCCAACTGAGCTGTTGCTCCAACTCTTAGTCATTCACTTTTCATGAGTACAATAATGTTTTCATTTTCTGAGAATGAAACTATTCCCAATGGTATCTGGACAATGTTTTGAAAACATTGTCCAGAAATTTGTATATAACATTTTATTTGGAAACATGAAGAAAAAATATCTTGACTATTAAAAACCTATAATGATTAAAGTACAGTTAGAAGAAAATACTCAGCCATTATAGTGAAAGACCCCCCAGAGACTCAGGCCCCCAGGATCTCAGCCCAGGACCTCAGCCACCCCAATCACTGTGTGGAGGCGAAAGCTTGTTACAAACTGCACGAGGCTTTATTGTAGTTCTTTAACGAGCTAACCCCATGTTAGCTTGGGTCTTTCATCCACCCACCAAGGTGGGTGGCTAGGAAAGACCCTTCGAAGTGTCTGCATAGAGATCTTATAGGGCAACATAAAGGGAGTCTCTAGGGGTGTGCACAGGCTCAGGATTGGTGTGCCTCCAGGCTTGGAGGGTTTGCCCTGTGTTGATTGGTCAACTGGTTGTTAGGCCCATAGGTCCTCCCAGGGTGGTTGCTGTGCTCTGTGAGTCATTGCTGTGCGCTTGTCCATAAAGCACACCCAGAGTCATAAAGCAAAGCACCACCAGCTAACTTATGATTGGTTCCTTGCCACGAGGCAGGCATCTGACCTCCTAGTGACCAAGACAAGGTCAGACAAGCATGTGTTACTGTCATGGCTGCCGAAAGGAGCAGGCATCTGACCTCCTAGTGACCAAGACAAGGTCAGGCAAGTACGTGTTCGACTGTTATGGCTGCCGAAATGGGGAGCTGGTCCCTTCATTAGTTAAGCAACAGCTTGGATCTAAATGCCAGCTATTCACATCAGCATCAGCAAGTTACTTAGGTGATAGATACATAGAATTTGAGAGTGACAGCTGGCCTGATTGTGTATGCTCCTATGTTGCACACCCATAATCATCAAAGATTGACTTGGGACAATGGCTCTGAGTTTGCTGTATCCCACCAATTGGGTTTAATAATGTTCTCTCATGGGATTATGCAAAGGGAAGCAAGTCTTATTTATCAAGAGCTGTTATAGAATAGTAAGAAATTGAGAGAGATTTCTAGAAACTCTCAGAGAAGACAGGGTTTCCAGGGAGGAAAGAATCCATTGTATTTCTGTTGTCCATAATTTTTATAGGATGCTAGCCTAAAATGATGTTGGTTAATTTCTGGATTATCATAGGCCAACTCAGGTTAGAGATTTTCATAACCATATATGTTCCCACAGAGTCTATGCTTCCACAAATCATCACTGTGTGGTGGTCACTGATTTGAAAACAGCCTCCAAATACTGGCTTGCCCTGGTACTTACATGTTAAGTGTTCTTCATTCTAAACTTAGGCAAGATTTGACTTTCTCTGCTAATTTGACTCTATTGCTTCCTCTAAAATTAGAATAAGAAAACAAGGCAGTTAAAAACCTCTGGATCAAATGAGGACTTTGGTTTATTCATCAAGTCACTAGATTTACCAAGCATTGTGTACTTGAGAGCCAATGACAAAAAGTTTATCATACTTAAATCACATGAAAATAGAAAACACAAGTCGAAATTACCACCATTGTTAGACACAAAAATACTCTGATGTCTCTAGTCACATCCATAGGCTCAAATGCAAGTTCAAGTCCAATCAAGCATGCACGCATGATGTGTGACTCTTCCAGAATGGATGTAAAGAAACATCTGTTCACTGCAGATGGAGAGCACAGACAGACCAAAGAAAGGATTCAGGATTCGATCCATGTAAATTGAAGAGTCCACAAGCTCTATGTATGCCCACTGGGCTAACCAGGAATGGTTATGTACTGCTTGAGAACTGTTTATTTCTTTAGCTGCTCATTGAAGAGCACCTCTATTCATCTTGGATTTTGGCTTTAGTAATTGACCTTGTCTGTCTGAAAGTTGCTGGTTACTTGGCCAGTTTCTCTACCTTAGTTCTTGGGTGTGTCTCCCTAACTGTTAATTATGCTGATTTCTCTGGCTTTGTTAGTTGACTGACTGTCTGCTAGTCATTAGTCATTGGCTGGTGTTGAAGGTGTCCTAAGTGTTAATTGTATGGAGCTCTTTTGAGTCTCACAGCTACCAGGAAGTAGCTGCAGTGTTCTTGGCTATGGAATAATCTAGGTCTCATTCCTGAATGTGTCAGGCTCATTAGAAGCCATCCTCACTTACAACATAGTTTGCTAAAAGCAAGGTATTAAAAGCAAGGTTGCATAATAAACAATAGTGCCTACCACAAGTTTCACAAATTGGAAAGGTTTCATGGAAGTTAGCCAGCTGGCCCATTGTCACTGACCTGTTTATCTCTTATCAGGCCACTTGGCTATCTCATATCTAGCTGCAAGGCCTCTTATTTATCTTCCTTAGTTCTCCACAATTTGCATTTTTTTTAACCCTAATCTTTCCTTTAACTTCAGTCTCTGCTTTCACTTTAGAGCAGTGGTTCTCAACCTGTAGGTTAATATCCCATGGGGGCAGAGACCAATAACCCTTTCATAGGGGATATCCTGTATATTGGGTAGTTACATTAATATTCATAACAGTAGCAAAATTACAGGTATGAAATAGCAATGAAAATAATTTTTTGTGGGGGTCAGTACAACCCGAGGAACTGTATTAAAGGGACGCAGAATTAGGAAGGTTGAGAAACACTGCTCTAGAGAGTTATTTCCTGTCTCACCAGCCCTTAGAGATAGATCAGAGATAGTGTTAATAAGTGGCAGTCACAAAAGTAATATTGTGGTGAAAATGAGATAAATAAATGAGTGAAAATCCTTTGGAAGTTATTCCCATATATATAGTTGGTGCTCTTATGGTTGAATTTTCTTTTTTTACGCTGAGTGACACCCTTTGCTTCTACTTGAAGTACTTGAAGTGTTTTTATTTTATTTTATTGTTTTATAGGCCTAGGGCTTTGGAGAGGGACTGTTGGCATAGAATTTAAGAAAAAGAAAGCAAAAATGTTGACATACCACAATATGTAACAGTTTGTTAAAGAATGTATGACTGTGTCTATGCTTACTATTTCTTTTGATTTTTTTCTGCACATTTTTACTTCTGCCCAAACTCAGAAGTTACAAAAGCTTTTATGATGGCAGTACAATTCCTATATTATTAAGATGTTTTAAAAATGTTATTTTTGTCTCTTCATTGAAATTCTTAGCCATTAAAATATAAAACATCACTGTTTCAATGCCTTTTGTACTTGGATTTTAATTTTGTGTCCTTGAATATTTAAATTATATTGTAAGTATATTAAATAAAATGAATGTTCTAATTATCTAAATTTTTACCATATTTATTTCAAACTCTAAAAGTTTGATCTCCTTCATTTTTTCTTTCACTTAAACAGTGGTATTAGTTATGTTTCTCATTGCTTTGACAAAACTTTCACAATGCTTGAGAAAAGCAAACTAAGGAAGGGAGAGCTCACAGTTTGAGGATACAACCCATCATGGCAGGGACAATCATGGTACAGGAGTGTGAGATAGCTGTTAACAAGGCATCCACAGTCAGGAACCTGAGAGACTTGACTGCTCTTCTCAGATTGCTTCCTCATTTTGATTCAGTCAAGGACTGGGGCCCTTGGAATGGTGTTGCCTGTATACATTCTAGGTGGGTCTCTCCTCCTCAGTTCATTTTGTCAGTGGCTTTACAGAGCTGTTCAGAAGTGTGCTTCTATAGTGATTCTAAATGCAGGTAAATTGACAGTGAACATTAATGCTCACAATCTCCCTGGGTAGACTTCTACTTCTGCAACATGAGCAAAATTGGCTCTGCCATTCAATCTGTGGTATGACTATGGCTAAGATATAAATCTGGAAACATTTTTCTGTCCCTGTCCATTCCTCCAGTTTCAGGTGATTTGATGATGATTCTTTAAGTCAGTCAAAGGTCATGTTGAGGACATTTGGGACATGTGTACAATCTTTGGATATAAGACTTAATTACAGCTTTATTAGAAAAAGATAAGAATTGGGAGTTATCTTGAGAATCTACTAGTCTGCAAACTAGTCCTGAACCATTCAGTCTTTTTTATTTTCTTCTGTTTTCTTCCATATTAAACAGGGATGAATCATTTGCCTTTAGGACCAATATGTTGTGAAGTGAGTCAGGTT